TTGAGTTGAAGACCACAAACCTGGGAGACCCTTTGCCACCCCTAGTTCTCCTCCAAGTAAATCTGAGATATTATGTTGAAAGAAGATAGACATAAATGACTTTATGTCATTCTGGGTTTTTTTTCCCCAAAAAATGAAGTGATTCTTAATCTTCAGGAAAAATCCTCTCTAAATGATATTCACGATTCATCACAAGTTAGGTTGTAGTTGTTTTTGATAGTAGGTATTAAACCCAGGACTTCCCATGTGGACATGTTGCTCTACCACTGTTCATCCTGTCGACCTACACCTCTAGCCCAGACTTAAGCTTATAATAGGTCTTAGAATTATTTCAGTAATCAAGCGTGTCAGAACATAATGCAGAGGAGGAACAATTATGATTTCTTAATATTCCAGGGGGAGAAAGACCTTTTTCAGATACTGAAAGAAATTTGTCTTTCCACAATGTTAATCCCTAAGACTTTTCTCCTTTATAGACTACGATAGTATATACTTGTTTCATATTCTTACTCTATACAGAACTTCCACAGGAAATTTCTGAAAGTTTCCCCAGATATATAATACAACATTTTTTTGTCATCCTTACAACATTTGCAAAGTATGGTATGTACATCACATATAGATTCTCTTTTCTAAGTGAATATTAATTGTACAAAGGGGTTTACCTCCTTTGCTCTTCCTTATCCTCTCCCCTTTCTGAAAATAATTTTTAATGGGTTTTGTTGTTTTTATACGTGTATATAATGTACTTGGATCATAGTTACTCCCATGCCCCCTCCTTTCAGGTACAGATTCTAGTGATCAAGGGACTTCATAATTCCTTCTTTAATATGCTCTATGAGGTTAGTCAAATTTACAACCATTGCTGTCACAGGATCAATCTCTTTCCATCCTGTTATGACTTTATAATCATGCCTGCTGACATCTGAATTGCATTTTCCAAACAGTTTCAGCTTTCCTTCATTATTTAGAGATTTGTTCAGCAACTGGCGGCTGGGCACTGGAAAGGATCACTTGATGCCCTGAAGTGACCGGCATGCCCAGCCCCAGCCTCAGCCTGGTATCTTCAGCACCTCCCTCAGCCCACTGTGGGGCTGGACTTGCCCAGTATTTTGTTTGATATTTTTTTCTGCTATACATCAAAAGTGAGTCTTCTAAAGGCCTACAATTGTGAAAGAAAATTAACTTGTTAATTCTATCTAAAAAAGACCCAAGTGAATGAATATTATTGAATGTGGCACAGCTTTTCAGAGCAAAAACAAGAAACCAAGCCAGGGACTGAGTTCAGAACCAACCAGTGTCAACAGAGGCCTTTACCAAGGGATGACATGCCTTGGGAGTTGAGGTCCAGTGGTCTGGGGAAACTCTGAAATGGCTACTATGCCAGTCATCTCTTTTTTGCAGGGGAAATGGAAGCTGTGGTCTGTTTTGCTTCAAGGACTTTACTTGACCTTGTTTACTCCATCAATGAATGGGAATGGGTGGGAAATTGTATTTCTGACAATTTCATGGGGAAAATTGCTGAAGAGATGAATCTGTAATTGGTATCACAGTGGTGACCTCTTGTTCAGATTTGATTCTTGTTCATTTTTGGGCTACAGCAGCTACTAGACAAGTTATATATGTTAGGAGGAAATGTGAGAGCTGTCCTTAGCTGGCCACCTGTCCCAAATCACTAGAGGACTGGAAGTTCTCTGATGGTGTCTGGACTCCTGCAAGCAGAGTTATCCCAGCGGAACCTGCTGGCCCTCATCATAACTCAGTCCTAGTTCTCTGGGCAGGAAGTGCTGGGAAGTTTGGGGGCCAGGCCAGAGCCTCTCAAGGAGCCTTTGGAAGATGTCTGTCATGTGGCTGCAGGAGCATTCTGAAGAGTTTGCTCAGGCTCTGCTTTGGTGGTGGCCTTGCCCTGATAAGTGTGAATGTTTCTGTGCAGACTATGAGTGAGCTAACATTTCTTAGATGCCCATGAACACGTGTAGGGGACAGCCAGCACGTTAGGAAGTTTTTCATAATTTGTATTTGTTTTTTTTAATCAACAATCTAAAATAAATCATTTTCTGCATATATATTATACATATTTTTTCTTTTCCTTTTTTTTTTTTTTTTTTTTGCAATACTGGTGCTTAAACTCAGGGCCTCCACCAGCCCTTTTATGTGATGGGTTTTTTTTGAGATAGAGTCTCGAGAACTGTTTGTCCAGGCTGGTTTCGAACTGCAATCCTCCTGATCTCTGCCTCCTAAGTAGCTAGGATTACAGGTGTGGCCACTGGTGCTAGCCAGATACCATAGTTTTTTGTTTGTTTGTTTTTGGTGGTATTGGGGTTCAAACTCAGGGCCTCAAGCTTGCTAGGCAGGCACTTTACCACTTGAGCCACTCCACCAGCCAGCATTTTCTGGATATTGTGGGTGACTATCTTTTTAAAAGTAAAGTATTATGTATTTATGTTTGGTTTTAGTCATTTCTGATAACAAACAGTATGAGTTTAATTAGGTTGGTGAAGAATATTGAACATAGTTAATATTTAAATGATGGGTTTACACAAGTGAAGACCAGATGACTTTATGCCATACTTTAAACATAATAAAAATATGTTATTTATTTATTTTTCTGGCGATGGGATCAAACCCAGGAACTCATGCATGCATCCTAGGTAAGTGCTCTACCACTGTGCTACATTCCCAGCTGCATATTAGTTTAAATAGAAAAGTGTATATAGTAGTATAAACATACTCGCTATGACAGCATTAATCTGCTTACAGCAAAATGTTATCCATCTTATAAATTAATGTTTGTTTTGTGATTTTGCTTAGTAGTACTGTACCTAATATCTAAGTAGGATTACAACTAAAATCATCAATCCAGAAGTCTAAGTTTTTATCCTTTCCCTTTTTAGAAAGACTTTGTACATTAAAGTGTATGTGCTTTAGAACCAGATATACTTCGATTCAGATGTGGGCTCTATCACTGAACAACTTTGGGAATCTCTTCATTTATAAAATGCAGCCTCATTTAATTTTACAAATATAATTGCCTACGAACTTCTAGAAACTGTTCTAGACAAGGGGAGTATGTAATTGAACATGATGGATACAGTTTGTACTCACACGACCATACATAGTGGGAGAGAGAGGCAAACAGGAAATTACACTACAGTGTAGGTGTTACCACAGAGTAAGGCTAGGGTCCTGTGGTGCACATGGTACAGATGCCTAGCCTGCTTGTGGCAGCTGAATGAAAATGAGACCTGAAAGATTCAGCAACACTCAAGTGATGGGAGAGCCAGTTTTACACACAGGAACAGAAAAATGTAGAAGGTAGAAGGTGAAAGCACGTGGTACTTTGGAGAAGTTCAAGTGCTCTGGTACCGTTGGAGCTGGTATCTGTGGAAATGAGGAGAGGTAAGCAAGGGTGAGATAGGAAGAGGTTTGGAAGCTTTAAGAGGTTGTTATGAGGGTGACACATTGGATCCACAGAATAGTGTGAAGAAAAGGAGCACAACGAGCAGGGTTTACTTTCAGATCACTCGTACTGTAGTATGGAATATCGAGTGGGGCGAGAGAAAGGTGGAAAGCAGGAGCTAATGGGAAGCTGTGGCATTGATGTATTTGAGATGGTGGCCTGAACCAAAGGGCAGTAGCTGTGAGAGTGTGAGGAGGATAGGTTCAGGAGCTGTTCAGATGGGTCAGATGTGGGGCATGGAGGCAGAGGGGAGAAACGGACCACAGGTTTTTGGTTTGGTCAGTGAGCTGATCTGGAAAGAAGCAATGAATCATCACTTAGAAAGGAAGACATGAAAACAGATGAGATCTGCATGTCCATAGTATTAACCTGAGGGTGTGTGTGTGTGTGTGTGTGTGTGTTGTGTTGTGCATGCTTAAGGCCTGGCCAGCATCCATTCTCCCTCTGGCTGGCTCAACCTCCTTCTCCTTGATTTACTTATCAGATACTAGGCCATTATTACATGCCAAGAGGCTGGGGACAGGGCTTTGGAAAAGTCTCTATTTTCAGCTTTCTTATTAGTATGGGGTGGGGAAACTGACAGCAGTAAGAAGCAGCACAGTCCAGTGGTGAGGAGTACAGATTTGGGCACCATTCTGCTTAGGTTTGACTCCCACCTCTGAGCAAGTCCTGCACAACTTATTTTCTGGTTTTCAGTGTGCCCAGCTCTAACTTGGGAGTAGTGATAGTATTGACTTCACAGGGGTATTGATGGCATTAAATTAATCAAGTAAAGTGATTCATGTCTGCCTCATAAAAGCATTGAGTGTGTGGATTTAGTCTCTTAGATAGGTGCTGTGGAGGAAAAATAAAGCAAGGTAAGTGGAAGTGAAAGGCTGCTATTTGTTCAGGATGGTCAGAAAAGCCTCACTGCTGGTTGCCAGTGGCTCACGCCTGTAAATCCTAGCTACTCCGGAGGCAGGGATCAGGAGTATCACTATTGGAAGCCAGCTCAGGAAAATAGTTCAAGAGTCCCTATCTCAAAAATACTCAACACAGAAAAAGGGCTGGCAGAGTAGCTCAAGTGGTAGAGCGCCCACCTATTAAGCATGAGGCCCTGAGTTCAAATGACAGAACCACAAAAATAAGTAAAGTAAGTAAGTATTTTGGAGGATAAATTTTGGGAAAGGAGAGAAAATTATAAAGGAAAAGACTTTTATATTGTGTGTGTTACATGAGTTTTCGCAAGTAAGTCAAATGAGTAATTTGGTTATCTTTGGTAATATAGATTTCAGTTATTGAAACAGGTATAAACTTGAAACCTATTACCTTTATTGAAAAGGATTTGGGCATGTAGCTCAAATGGTGGTGAGTTTTTACCTTCAGGCCTCTGAAACTTGGGAGCAGTACTATGCCTGTTCCACTGTTTTCCACCATATGCACACAAGGCAAGTACCACTGAGAAGCAGGTTAGTTCTTTGTAATAGGTATTAGGAGTTGTGTGGGATTGCTTTGTTATTGACCTACTTGTTATGTACTGTTTTAATTTCATGTCCTTCAGATATTTGGATTTGAACTTGGAATTCATCTTACGATGTCATTGTCAGATGGAGGACCAGTTGGATATACCCCCCCAGATGGAGGCTGGGGGTGGGCAGTGGTTGCTGGTGCTTTTGTTTCTATTGGTTTCTCTTGTGCATTTGGCAAATCTATTTCTGTATTTTACAAAGAAATTGAAAATATATTCAATGCCAGCACCAGTGAAGTGTCCTGGATATCCTCCATCATGTTTGCTGTCATGTACGGTGGAGGTGAGTACCCACTATGGCCTGCTCTGTTAACTTTCAGTAGGCAGACAAAAGCTCTGTGTTAAGTTCTTTCTATTCTTGATGATTTTATCAGTCAGTTATTTGAAACACTATTTTCTTGAAGCTATGTGATAAGAATCATTTTTCTTCTTAACAACAAAAGCTACATGACAACTGTGTACTCTCTTAGGTCAATTATAATATTGTAAAACAGCTGTTTATAACAGGGTGACTTTTGCCAGGCATGGTGGGATATGCCTGTAAATCCCAACACTCAAGTGGCTGAGGCAGAAGGATCATAATTTCAAGGACAGCTATGCTACCCAGAGAGAACCTGTCTCAAAAATAAACAAATCCATAAAGGGTAACTTTTAAAATGTGTTTTCTAATTGGTGATCAGTGGCTTATGCCTGTAATCCTAGCTACTTGGAAGGCAAAGATCAGGAGGATCATGGTTTGAAGCTAGCTGGGGCAAATAGTTTGTGAGACCCTATGTCAAAAAACATTCAAAACAAAACCAGGGCTGGTAGAGTGACTCAGGTGATATAGAGAGCATGCCTAGCAAGTGTGAGGCCTTGAGTTCAAATCCAGTGCTGAAAAATAAAAGTGTTTTCTGGCCAGGGGGGGTGGCTCAGTGATGGAGCATTTGCACGCATGAAGCCCTGGATTCAATCTCCCTCCAGCACTCTAAAACAAGAAATAATGTTTTCTGCTGTTGCTGGTGAAAGGTAACTGATCTTTCTTTTTTTTTTTAATCATATATTCTATAACCTTGCTAGACTCTTGTTTCTTTTCTTTTTTTAATTTTTATTTTATTCATATGTGCATACAATGTTTGGGTCATTTCTCCCCCCTCCCCCCCTTTCTCCCCACCCACCACTCCCTCCCTTACCCTCCCCTTACCCTCCCCTTACCCCTCGCTACCTAGCAGAGACTATTTTGCCTTTATCTCTAATTTTGTTGAAGAGAGAGTATAAACAATAATAGGAAGGAACAAGGGTTTTTGCTGGTTGAGATAAGGATAGCTATACAGGGAGGTGACTTGCATTGATTTCCTGTGCATGTGTGTTACTTCTAAGTTAATTCTTCTTGAACTAACCTTTTCTCTAGTTCCTGGTCCCCTCTCCTATTGGCCTCAGTTGCTTTAAAGTGTCTGCTTTTAGACTCTTGTTTCTAATAGTTTACTGATAGATTCTGTCAAAATTTTTAAATATAAAAAAATATCTTCTACAAATACTGATAGTTTGGTTTCTTCCTTTCCTTACACCTTTTTTTCCTGTCTTACTGCACTAGCTGGGACTTCAAGTAAATGTTGAAGAAAAGTGGCGATGGTAGGCATTCTCGTTTTGTAGTTTTGTGTTGGTTTGTGTTCTAGCTAGTTTGTAAATGTTCTCTAAAGTCAGAAGTTGGATTGGATTGAGTTATACACTGCATCATAGTTATACATCTTTGCTCCCAGTGCCTATCTAAAAAATTACAACAGAGCAAGTTTGCTATGTATATGTTGAGGGTGTAATACATACTTGAAGAAGCCCACACACAGGAATGTGCAGCCTGCTTTACCTTACAAGAGGTAGATTATACTTTAGTTAAAATCCATTTAGTATATTCCAGATGAGTTGAAGATGTACAACCATTACTGTTTTTTTTCCCACTACACAAACCTATAACTAAAATGACAGAAAGCAAATATCCTTTACACTGCCTCTGTTCTGTTTATTCTGGGACCTTTGTCTTGGCTCCTTTCTTGGCAGTAATGCCTATGTGGACGTGGGAGTGAGGAGTGGGCTTTTGTTCGGTACCAGGTTGTTTACCAAGTTGTGTGTTGTCTCCCAGGTCCTATCAGCAGTGTCCTGGTGAACAAGTATGGCAGCCGCCCGGTCATGATTGCTGGGGGCTGCTTGTCCGGCTGTGGCTTGATGGCGGCTTCTTCTGTAACACCGTGCAGGAGCTTTACTTGTGCATTGGCGTCATCGGAGGTGAGTTGCTGCTGGTTCTTTTTTGTGCAGTCGTTTGTGAACAGTTTATAGCATTTACCTTCCTGTTCTTTTCATTAAAGAAATTACTGAGTGTTATTTTTAAGAGCTTAGATAAGTTAACTTAAGAGTCCCAGAAAACCAGGCTTTCAAAAAATATCCCGGCACTTAATTCACATTATTGTTTGTTGAATGCATGAATTTAAAAAAAAGCATTTCTGTCTTCCCTCTCTCCCCCTTGCCTTCTGTCCTTTCCTCTTAAGAAAGATAGTGAAAATCAGTGAAAGTTGTGGTCCATTGAGTTGTTGAAAGGGCAGATAGCAATTCTCATTGAACACAGCTTTTCTACCCAAGAAGGAATTGCCCATCTTGGCATAGGAGAGACAGGGTAAACTTTTCTGGTAGAGAAGCAGATACATTTTCAAGAGTAAAAGGCATATTGAGAACTCTTCCTGCCCCTTTTTAAAAGCTAAATTAAGAAAATGAGCCAGGTGCTGGTGGCTCACACCTGTAATCCTAGCTACTCAGGAGGCAGAGATCAGGAGGATCACAGTTTAGAGGCCAGCCCGGGCAAATAGTTTGAGGGACCCTATCTTGAAAATACCCAACACAACACAAGGCTGGTGGAGTGGCTCAAGAGGTAGAGTGCCTGCCTAGCAGGTGTGAGGCCCTAAGTTCAAAACTCCAGTTACTGTCCTCCACCAAAAAATCAAACTGCCAATATATACAAAGAATGTAGATTACACATAGCTATACACTTCAAAGTAAACCACCATTAACATTTTATGCTATATTCATTCATACACTTTTCTATGCACATAACAATTTTTTTAGGACAAAAAGAGTTGGGACTATATGTTATGTGTGTAACCAGGTTTTTTTGCGGTGGGGAGGTTTGCAGGGCCTTGCATTACACCCCTACCCTGTTGCCAGTTTTTTAAACATTGTTTTTTCATTTATAATAGTCTCTTTAAGAGTTCATTTTAAACCAGTTTCATTGGCCACAGAAAATAAAAGGACTATGAATAGCCTTTTATGAAACATGCAGGGAGCTGAGGAGGGCCAAGAGGAATCTAGGGCCTTGGTAGGTGCATTCCCTGGGGAGGGGGGGGGCCTGAAAGGGAGACCAGACAATCAGGTGAGACTTCCTGAACAACAGCATAACAAACAGGTCTGTGGTGATGTGGGCCTCTGCAATCGGACCCATGCCTGTTGGCTAAGGATGGAAGAAGGCCTCGAATTCCTGAGGGAGGGGGCTGCATCCCTAAGGGGGCATGCCCATTGGAGTTCCTCTGCCAGGGGAGATCCCCACTGGGGGAACCATGGGAAGCCTCATGCCAGGATGTGCATGCATCATCCTGAAAGAGAAAAGACCAAATATAGCTCGAGTGGCTTTTCAAGTCTTGAAAAGGTAGCAGGAACCATGCAAGGCTGTACACCAAAGCAGATGGACCATTCATCCCTCTCAGCTTCTGCTGGCAAGCTGGTTAAATGTCACACACATAGTTCCCCATCTCAATAAAGATACTTCGGCCAACATTGTTTTTCCATTGGCTGGATGCCATGATTCATCTCATCGTTCTCTGGTTGATGGATATTTTAATTCTTCACATTCTTTTTAACTACTGATAAACAGCATTTATGTGACAGTACTTCTCTGTATACCTTTACGCAAGTGATTTTTTTAGGATGAATTTTTAGAAATGGAATGACTTGGGGAAAAGGTTTGATACAATCAGGCAATGTACTCTGTTAGAAAGGTTATAGTAAGTTACAGCCCAACCTTCAGCATATGAGATAATGCTTATAACAGTTTTTTTAAATCTATGCTTTCATTACATTAATGCATTTAAGTAATTTAATCTATCCAGAATGTTTTAATTCTGTGAAGAAGGAATATAAATTCTCACATGATTATGTAGTCTACTTATTATTTCACCTATTAATTAATTCAACAAACACTTATAGAATCCCTACTCTGTTGCAGGCACTGTTTCAAGCAGTTTGGGGATAGAGTGTGACAGGCAGGTTTCCCCTTTTTTAGTGGAGGGAAGCAGACAATATACAGACCAACAAATAAATGAATAACAGTAATAATTAAAAAGGTAGTAATGAATGCTATGCAAAGGCTTGAAAGAGTTTTGGAAGGAGAAAGATTGGCTAGTTCCTGAGTGGAAGGCCTCTTTGAGGAGGTCACTTTGAGTTGAGATCTGAAGGTAGCACAGAGCTACCTAGACAAAATCTAGGGGCACAGCTAGTGTAAAGGCCCTAAAGCAGTAATGTACTGAGCACAGGTAAGACAGACAGGAGAGCCTGGGCAGTTTGTATAGGCCAAAGTACTTTTCATCCTAACCCAAGGTGAGAGTTACAGAGAGGTAGTAATTGGAAAAATTGAATGGATGCATCCTAGTCTGGTTTTTACCTCGCATGGGAGCTTAGTGGGGTAATCACTCATCCTAGCCCCATAAATTGAAAAGTTCATTCTTTCCCTATTAAATGTATTTTTGGTTCTGTTTCTGGACTTCTGCTTACTTTCATTGATCTGTTTTTCTAATATGAATAAATGCCATACTGTTCTAATTATTTTGGCTGTACCATGTATTTTTATATCTGTCAAAGTTGAGTCCATCAATGATTTATCTTTTTCAAATATTTCAAATGCATTTGTCATTCATTTATATTTTGTAGTCACTTTACCTCATTTGAAAAATAAAAGGCACTGCATTTTCATAGAAATTGCATTAAGTTAATGGATTTAGTTAATGGAGTGGTATTGGCATCTTTGACAATTTTGGTTTTGCTGTCCAAAATTTTTCACTTGCTCAGTGTTCTGCATTTGTGAGATTTATCCTCTCTTCTGGTTTTCAATTCTGCATTCCTCAGGAAAGCTAATATCATGAGATTAAATATAGGATCTTATGTTTATTATTCTTTTGGCTGCTAGAGTGAAAAGAATTACGTTATATTGTAAATCTGGTATTTGGCACATAAAGAGACTTATGTGTGAATATTTATTTATCAAAGCCTACCTAATGAGCTACTAATTATAATAGCTTCTCATAGTCAAAATTTTGTTCTCTTTCCATTCCATTTCTTTGCCTCACTAATTAATAACAAATATGTTTCTGACATTTACTATTGTATATAGTTTTTTCCCCTCCCTCCTAGGTCTTGGGCTCGCCTTCAACTTGAATCCAGCTCTGACCATGATTGGCAAGTATTTCTACAAGAAGAGACCATTGGCCAATGGACTGGCCATGGCAGGCAGCCCTGTACTCCTTGCTATCCTGGCCCCCCTCAGTCAGACTCTCTTTAATATCTTTGGCTGGAGAGGAAGCTTCCTAATTCTTGGGAGCCTCCTGCTAAACTGCTGTGTAGCTGGATCCCTGATGCGGCCAATAGGGCCCAAGGCAACTGAGGCTGAGAAAGTTAGGTCCAAAGAATCTCTCCAGGAAGCTGGCAAATCCAGTGCAAAAATAGGTGCAGGTGATGCAAGTACAGAAAGTAATGAAGGAAACCGCAATGAGGAGAAACTACTGGCATTCCAAACAATTAGCAAAGTCTTGGACTTGTCCCTGTTCACTCACAGAGGCTTCGTTCTGTACCTCTCTGGTAATGTGATAATGGCCTTTGGACTGGCTACTCCTTTAGTCTTTCTTAATAGTTATGCCAAGAGTAAAAATTATGCTAGTGAGAAGGCTGCCTTCCTTTTCTCTATTTTGTCTTTTGTGGATATCATAGCCAGACCTTCCATGGGACTTGTAGCCAACACAAAGTGGATCAGACCTCGAATCCAGTATTTTTTAGCTGCTGCTATTATGGCAAATGGTGTGTGTCATATGGCACTGCCTTTATCCACCAGCTACGTTGGCTTCTGCAGCTACTCTGGATTCTTTGGTTTTGCCTTTGGGTGGCTCAGCTCCGTATTGTTTGAAACACTAATGGACCTCGTTGGACCCCAGAGGTTCTCCAGCGCTGTGGGCTTGGTGACCATTGTGGAATGCTGCCCTGTCCTCCTGGGGCCACCACTTTTAGGTATAGTATATCTTCCTACCTCTCTGGTTCTGTTATCATAAAACAGGCATACACTATGGGAACAGTGATAGAAGGCAGAAGTTGGTGAGCTATTTGGTGAGTCTTGTTTCTGTACTCTTGGTGCCTGGTCAGACACATACAAAATGGGATTAAATTGAACCAGCAAGCTGAGAGGGGGACCAACAGCTCTTACAGTTCAGTAATTCTTAACAATAGTTCTTCTGGTCATAAAACTAATAAGCTTATTGTAGAAAAATGTGTAATACACAACTCCACCTTTAAAATACTAATAGTGATTTCATTTTAATCATGGAATTTATCTCAGTACTATTCAAAATAATAACAGCTATCAGGGGAGGGTTCACAGAGTACCAGAGATTGTCCTAAGATTACATTATATATCCTGTCGTATTTCACAAGTCAATGAGGTAGAACAGCTAGTGCCTGTTTTTATAAATTAAGAAATAGAGGCTCCTAACCCTCTTACACTGTTGGTGGGAATGTAAACTAGTACAACCACTCTGGAAAAAAATTTGGAGGCTACTTAAAAAGCTAAACATTGATCTACCATTTGATCCAGCAATACCACTCTTGGGGATATACCCAAAAGACTGTGACACAGGTTATTCCAGGGGCACCTGCACACCCATGTTTATTGCGGCACTATTCACAATAGCCAAGTTATGGAAACAGCCAAGATGCCCCACTACTGATGAATGGATCAAGAAAATGTGGTATCTATACACAATGGAATTTTATGGAGCCATGAAGAAGAATGAAATGTTATCATTCGCTGGTAAATGGATGGAGTTGGAGAACATCATTCTGAGTGAGGTTAGCCTGGCCCAAAAGACCAAAAATCATATGTTCTCTCTCATATGTGGACATTAGATCAAGGGCAAACACAACAAGGGGCTTGAACTTTGATCACAAGATAAAAGCGAGGGCACACAAGGGAGATATGAGGATAGGTAAGACACCTAAAAAATTAGTTAGCATTTGTTGCCCTCAACACAGAGAAACTAAAGCAGATACCTTAAAAGCAACAGAGGCCAATAGGAAAAGGGGAACAGGTACTAGAGAAAAAGTGAGATAAAAAAGAATTAACCTAGAAGGTAACACACACGCACAGGAAATCAATGTGAGTCAATGCCCTGTATAGCTATCCTTATCTCAACCAGCAAAAACCCTTGTTCCTTCCTATTATTGCTTATACTCTCTCTTCAACAAAATTAGAGATAAGGGCAAAATAGTTTCTGCCGGGTATCAAGGGGGTGGCGGGGAGAGGTATGGGGCAAGGTGGGTCGTAAGGGGGGCAGGGGGGAGAAATGACCCAAGCATTGTATGCACATATGAATAATAAAAAAAATAATAAAAAGAAATAGAGGCTCCTAAAAGTGAAATAACCTGTCCAAGATTCCACAGCTGGTAAGTGACTATAAAACTTGCTGGATTGTTCTCTAAGAATACCAGCTTCCTTACAATTGAAAATTACTGTTTACTATCAGATATGACAGTAATTTGGCCCTCCTGGATATACTCATGCTTTTGAGATTATGAATTATAAATTAAGAAAGAATCATAGAAGATCCACTCCTAACTTCCAAACTCCTGTTCCTCTACACCTATACCTGTCCAGGGAGTCTCCACATCCTGCCAGTTTTCATCTCCAAAATCTCTTTGTAATTTGTCCATTTTCTACATCACAACTACCTCCCTTACCCAAACTCCTGTCCGTAACACAGGCTGCTTCTAACAGTTTCCTAACTGGTCTGCCTGTATCAGCTCCAGCTGTTCTTCAGTCTGTTACAGCTCTCCATTCCACTGCTCTTAGGGTAAAAATCAAATTCCTAATGTGGCTTGCAAGGCTCTGCAGAGCCTGGCCCTACTGTCTCTCCAGCCTCATTTCCTACCTTTACCCTTTGCTCTCTCTGCTGCAGCAACCTGGCCCTTCTTCCCTCTCTCACACCGTGCTTCCTCCTACCCCAGTGCCTTTGCACCTGCTGTTAGCCTGTATCCTCTCCCCACCCCTTCTAGATGACCTTATCCTCCTGCCATTCTCAGCTCTGTTAACTCTTCAAGGGAGGAAGCCTTTCTCACCCCACGTAGCAGTCCTAATCCTCTGTTTTCTGTTCAGAACCCTCCTATGGCACCTGTCACAGGTCATGTCACTGTTTGATGAATGTCTCTCTGTTCCTCTGAAGTGTGGATGTCGTGTCCTTTGCTCACCTCATCCACAGAGCCAGTGCCTGGTGTATGACAGCTATGGGCACTGCAGGTGCATGATGCCCGAGTCAGGAAACCAGGTGGCATCACATGGAGACCGGTTAAGTGGAGAGTAGGGTTTCCAAAGTTTATTCCTACAAATGCTGTTTTGATGAGATGCTTATAAACTGTGCTATAACAAGGGTTTCATGGCCAAAAAAAAAAAAAAATAGTTCAGAAATACCAATTTAAATAGGCTTCCTTACTACCAGCCCTCACAGAGCCTTCCGAGAAAAGGAGGTGATAGGCCATTCCCACATTCATCTGACTTTCCGCCAGTGGATGGATCCTGTAGCGCAGTGGTTCCAGGTGCAGGCCTGGAGTCGGACTTCCCAGCTTAAAGCCGTTACTTCACTTGCTGGCTTTGTGACCTTGGAGACATAACTTAATGTTTCTACTTCAGTTTTTGTATCTGTGCAGTGAGGGTGACAGTAGAATGTGTGGTGGGAGGACTAGGTGCCTAGAATGGGTAAACTGTTGCTGTTAGGTAAATTTTCAGCCCAGGTCGAGGAGCCCATCAGGGAGGGTGATTGAGAAGGAGCGCTGGCCTTGGCCTTGGGAACTGGATTGCTCTGGCCTGGAAGGCCCCTCAGCCTCTGAGCAACAGGCTCAGAGAAGTGGTTGTACCTGACGTTCAGGTCTTTCTTGATTCAGACATGAATTACTGTCAAGCATGAATTGTTTTCAAGTTGCTAAAAATAACCAAATGTGTAAGGCCTATAAAATCAGAGACATTAGAAAGAGATGATCAGATAATTTTCAGCAGTTCTTTTTTATACCAATTTGTCATTGTGGGCTCTTTGAAAATTGAAGTGACATCTTTTTCTGAGTTTTCGTTACTGAGGCAGGGTCCCACTACATAGTCCAGGCTGACCTCCAACTCAGCCTCAGCCTCCAGAGTGCCAGGATTATAGACAAGTACTACTTCGCCCAGCTTCTGAGTGGACCCATAAACTGTCTGGGAAGGGGTATCCTTGTTCACTTTTATGCACATCGCTTTGTTTTTACGTCTCCCCAGGTAGTCTCAATGACATTTACGGCGAGTACAAATACACGTACTGGGCGTGTGGCGTCATCCTCATCATCGCAGGTGTCTATCTCTTCATTGGCATGGGCGTCAATTATCGACTTGTGGCAAAAGAACAGAAGGCAGAGGAGCAGAGAAAGGAAGGGAAAGAGGACGAGACTGGTATGAACTCAGATGAGAAGCCAAAAGAAGTCACAAAAGCAGCAGCTGGCACAGAACAGAAAGGCCTGGAAGAGAAGCATCGGTCTGAAGTATGGATAACAGCAGGAGATTTTGACTGAAAGTACTGGAAGCAGTCTGCTGAACCCTGTTCTTCTAGTGCTGCTTACGGTGGATGGTGGAGTTTGTGGGGAATCACACCAGTATTCACTGGTGGCGTTTTATTTCTTTCTTTCACGGAAGTCTAAAATAAATTCATCAATCCCTTGGGGACAGAAGATTTGCCAAAGATAATGGAGTGAAGGAGATCACTTTTATTGAAAGTTAGATTGATTAAGGTTTACTTTACATGGTTGTTTCCCCACCATTGTTTTTCTCTTTCTGGAGACATATATAGCCCAGGCTGTCCTCGAACTCACAGCCCTCCTGCCTCAGTCTCCTGAGTGCTGGGATTACAGGCCTGTGCCAACCCCCATCTCGATTTCCTTTTTTTTTTTTTTTTTGGTAGTACTGGGCTTTGAACTCGGATCCTCATTCTAGCTAGCAGGTGCTCAACCACTTGAGCCACTCTGCCAGCTCTTTTTTGTGTTGGGTATTTTTGAGATAGGAGGTCTTGAACTGTTAGCTTGGGCTAGCTTTGAACCTTCATCCTCCTGATCTCTGCTCTGAATAGCTACAATTATAGGTGTGAACCATTGGTGCCTGGTTTCAATTTCCATTGTTTTAAGAGTATCTTGGCAAGCACACGCAATCCTAGCACCCAGGAGGCTGAGGCACGACCACCATCAGTTTGAAGCCAGTCTGGATTATTACATATCGAGACTTTTTTTTTTTTAAAGTAAAGTTTGGAGAGTTTTGACAAAGGTGTGTAGTGGAATAACTACCCCACAATACAGAGAGTGTGTCAAAGAGCCGAAGTAGTTACCTCCCTTTGGGGTCAGCCCCTTCCTCCACCCACACCTCTGGCAGCCAATGACCTGGTATTTTTCCTCTGTAGTTTTGTCTTTCCAAAATGGAATAAATGGTATCATAGTGTCTAACAAGGCATAAATTATTTGGTCTTTGTCCCCAGTTCCTGGCACACACCTGAAGAAGACCCTGTGGAATCTCTGGAGGTCTTTTGCATGCTAATGAGGTGACTTGTGCCTGGGGCCTGTAGATAGCTTCAGGATGGGGGCTCCATTGTGGGTGATTAGAGGTTTGGAACTTTCTGCTGTACCCCTTCATCTCAGGAGAGGGAAGGGGCTGGAGGTTGAGTTCAATCACCAAGGTCAGTGATTTCATCAGTGTGCCTGTGTAATGAAATGTCCATAGAAAGCCCTAAGCAACAGTCTGGAGAGCTTTCTGGTCAGGAAAGACCCTGATGTGCTGGGAAGGTAGCCTGCCAGGAAACAGCATGGAGCTCCATGGTGGCCCTCTGCTCCTTTCCCATGTGGCTGTTCCTGAGTTGTTGCTTTGTGATAAACCAGGAAATGTAAGGTGTTTTCTTAAGTTGCATGAGTTGTTACAGCAAGTCATCAAACTTGAAGAGGGTTATGGAAACACTCACTGTATAGCTAGGTAGTCACCTCCAGTGGCAACCTAAGAGTCAAAAATGTGTCTGAGGGAAGGGCATTTATAACTTTTTTTGTTGTTGGTACTGGGGTTTGAACTCAGGGCCTCACACTTGCTAAGCAGGTGCTCTACCACTTGAGCCACTCTGCCAGCCCAACTTGTGTAACTATATAAGCAGCTACAAAACTACTTTCTAAGTGGCTGTAATTTTGTAATCCATGGCATTGTGTGGAATTCTAAGAGTTCTGCATCTTTGTGAGCAGTAGGTATTGTCAGTCTTAGTAGGTGTGTAGTATGGCTTAACTTTCGTTCTCCTGATGACTAATGTAATTGACCATTTTTTATGAGCTTGTCACACATATATTTTTAGTGAAGCTTTGTTTTTTAATCCTGACACCAAAAAGGGTCTTAAAGATATTAAGTGCCCTGAGATTTTATATTTCAAACTCTTTGGGTGACTTTTCTTGGCATATCTGACAGTAAAATGAATAATAAATTTGAAAATTCTTAAATGTGTGATAACGAGTTTAGATAGATGGTAATGAAGTCTGATAGCAAGGAAAGATCTTTTATTTTATAAGCATAATGTATTAGGCCAGTATGTAGAATACACTCAGGGAAAAAGGGGAAGGAAATTTACACAGAATTCCAATCATATTTGTGTTGTGATGATACTTTTTCTCCTATTTTCCTTATCGTGAATGTGATTGTTACCTTGTCACTAATAGCAGGAAATAAATAGGTTTGAAATAGAGGCCTTCAGTCAAGAGACCTTATCTCCTAAAAATGAAGCACTGGTTACTACAGACAAGTTATTTTTTTTCTGCTTCTCCAGGAGAAGCACTGGTGGAAGGGAGGTGAGTGTGGCATGGAACTCAAGAGCACAGTGGTCTGTGGTCATCTTGCTGGGGCTGGACCAAAGCTGTGGAGTACAGAGCCCACAGGTCACCTGGGCCAGCCACAGGCCTCCCTCCTGCAAGCAGGTATCTTGGGACAGCATTCTTGTGGTTCCTATTCTGAGCATGTCAGCTGCAAGTGAATACTTAACTCAGGAAGTCAGAGGTTCTGTACTCACCCACTTCACAGCTTTGTGGTTGTCACTGAAAACAGTAACACTGATGTCACAAAGACAGGGTGATGATAGCTGACCAAGGAAGTCTACCTTCCCACACATTCATTGGCAGGTACTGTTGACACTTGGACTGCACTGTGCAATTCTGAGCTCTGTCAGAATTTGAGAATCCAACAGGAATATTCAGTAGACTTTATTTATAGTAGGAAGACCTGCTGAACAGTAAGTTATAAGGAAACAAGTTTTCAGACCACAGCAATAGATACAAGATGAGCCTTTATTCATCGTTTTTATTTAAATGGTAGTTTGGGCTTAAGTTGATACAAGAAAGAGTAGGAAATACTCTGGAGTTAGTAGGTATAGGTAAGAACTTTCTCAATGAAACCCCAGCAGCACAGCAACTAAGAGATAGCATAGATAAATGGGACCTCATAAAACTAAAAAGCTTCTGTTCATCAAAAGAAATGGTCTCTAAACTGAAGAGAACACCCACAGAGTGGGAGAAAATATTTGCCAACTATACATCAGACAAAGGACTGATAACCAGAATATACAGGGAACTTAAAAAACTAAATTCTCCCAAAACTAATGAACCAATAAAGAAATGGGCATGTGAACTAAACAGAACTTTCTCAAAAGAAGAAATTCAAATGGCCAGAAAACACATGAAAAAATGCTCACCATCTCTAGCAATAAAGGAAATGCAAATTAAAACCACGCTAAGATTCCACCTCACCCCTGTTAGAATAGCCATCATCAGCAACACCACCAACAACAGGTGTTGGCGAGGATGCGGGGAAAAAGGAACCCTCTTACACTGTTGGTGGGAATGTAGACTAGTACAACAACTCTGGAAAAAAATTTGGAGGCTACTTAAAAAGCTGGACATCGATCTACCATTTGATCCAGCAATACCACTCTTGGGGATATACCCAAAAGACTGTTACTCCAGAGGCACCTGCACATCCATGTTTATTGCGGCACTATTCACAATAGCCAAGTTATGGAAACAGCCAAGATGCCCACCACTGACGAATGGATTAAGAAAATGTGGTATCTATACACAATGGAATTTTATGCAGCCATGAAGAAGAACGAAATGTTATCATTCGCTGGTAAATGGATGGAATTGGAGAACATCATTCTGAGTGAGGTTAGCCTGGCTCAAAAACCAAAAATCGTATGTTCTCCCTCATATGTGGACATTAGATCAAGGGCAAACACAACAAGGGGATTGGACTTGAGCACATGATAAAAGCGAGAGCACACAAGGGAGGGTGAGGATAGGTAAGACACCTAAAAAACTAGCTAGCATTTGTTGCCCTTAACGCAGAGAAACTAAAGCAGATACCTTAAAGCAACTGAGGCCAATAGGAAAAGGGGAACAGGTACTAGAGAAAAGGTTAGATCAAAAAGAATTAACCTAGAAGGTAACACCCACGCACAGGAAATCAATGTGAGTCAATGCCCTGTATAGCTATCCTTATCTCAACCAGCAAAAACTCTTGTTCCTTCCTATTATTGCTTATACTCTCTCTACAACAAAATTAGAAATAAGGGCAAAATAGTTTCTGCTGGGTATTGGGGGGGGAGAGGGAGGGGGCGGAGTGGGTGGTAAGGGAGGGGGTGGGGGCAGTGGGGAGAAATGAACCAATCCTTGTATGCACATATGAATAATAAAAGAAAAAAAAATAAATGGTAGTTTGGGGAGCATTGTCTATGTGACTGTAGCTTTGTGGCACCTGAGTACCTTCGAATCTCAAGGCTGAAAATTTCCAGGCTCGCTGGTCTCCAGATAACGAAACTATTCTGGATTCAAGTGGTTCTGATCACCACCTCATTGTTTAAGTAACATTGGAGCACAATAAGCAGGAGAGGCAGAGGACAGGCCTCCAGAGCTTATGCTTATTCAGAGAGGAGCTCTGCAAAGATTTCAGTCTTTAGTTGGAACCCCAGTGAGCTTTGGGTCATTTGTGAGGACTTCATCTTGCTCCTGTTATGTCTGTCCTGTCCAGCACTCAGTCCTAGCACATATGGGGTCTGCGCCTAGCAGGTCCAATTGTAGTGTAGTGTTGGGAGTGTGTATACCAAAGCAGCTAACGTGATCTCGGAAGGCTGCAAGAAGTCTAGAAGTACATTCCCCAGCCAGTGAGTTAGCTTCTTTGTTGTTCATAGAATAAGCATAATATAACCACAGATCTCAATTATGACGATTCACAGCTATGGTTTTTAATATTGGTTTTAATGACATTTTAATCCACTAACACTCTGCAGTGTAGTAAGAGAAGCATCGGGAAGTTTTTTCTGTTTGTTTTGAGCCAGGGTCTCACTTTGTACCCCAGGCTGGCTTCAAACTTACTGTGGCCTTGAACTCACAATCTCCCTGCCTCAGTCTCTCCACTGCTGGGATTACAGATGAGTATTATACATCCACAATTTAATTATTAACTAGAATAAAGATGGTCTGGTGATAACTACTTGGTTCTTCAGTTTGCAAAACCATTTTTCCTACATTTTTTCATCCAATCCATGCAAACTCTGGAAGATGGGTGTAATTAAAAACAATGGCCCCTCTAAATTCACTGTAGGATCCATTCCTGGATTGAATCCTAGAACTGGAAGCAGACATTAGTGAAAAAGCTGGACTGTCCTTCAGT